GCTGAAATGCAACAGCTTCGTGAATTGGCTTCTAACCCCCATGGTCATGCCGCACCAACTCTTGCGCCCAACACGTCGACTGGCGCGGAAGCGCTGCCGGAACGTCGAAGCGCGCTCAAGCCGCAGAAGCCCGAGTCGTTCGACCCAAGTCAACGCGACGCGAACGTGCGGACGTGGCTCTTCATGCTGAACAACTACTTCGCCGCGAGCGGGGTGCAAGAGGCGGACGCGCAGCAGCGGATCGAGTACGCTGTTATGCTGCTGAGGGGCCCGGCCTTGGAGTGGTGGCGCCAACTTACGCAGACAGCTGTTAGAAAGGCTCAGACGGACGGGCATCAACAGGGCGTGGGGCATGCAACTGCAACTTCGAGCTTAGGTAGTCTAGCTTTGGGTGTTACCACGGTTCTGACCACATGGGAAGGATTTGAAGCGGCGCTGAAAAGTAGGTTCGATTTGGTGAATGCCTCCGAAGCTGCTAGGAAGCGCCTGCGTCATTTCCGACAGATAGGCAACGTCCAGGAGTACACACGACGGTTCTTGAGCATCTGCAATGAAATAGACGACATCACGGAAGCAGAGATGCGCGATCGCTACCTCGAAGGGTTGAAGCCGGACATAGCGGAGGTTATAGCGATTCACGGATTGTCCACCTTCGAGTCGGTAGTCGCAGCAGCAGAACGCGTCGACGCGGTACGAAGCCGACGGGGTCGTGACGATCGCGATAGGGGATACAAACCGATCAACGACGCTCGATCGAGGGACGGACCGTGGCCCATGGAGATTGGTGCAGTTAACAGTGACGGCTCACAGAAAATGGGATTTAGGGGGAACTGTCACTACTACAAAAAGCAAGGACACATGAAGCGGGACTGCCCACAGCTTAAGGAGCGGCAGCAGGGAAACGGGAATCGCCAGTAGATAGCGGGTCGCTAGCTGGTGTGGAGGTTCCCGTACCCGCCACGTCTACCAACGTAGAGGAGACGGCCTCGCAGCAGTCATCTATGGAGAACTCGGTAGACACGGTTGATCGTCCAGTCGTGCTTCTAGGGAAGCTTCGCGGAGTACTAGTCAAGATTCTCGTAGATAGCGGAGCCAGCCATTCATTCGTGTCTTCATCGCTAGTTAGTCGTCTCCATCTTGAAGCAGATTCAGTAGTCAACTTCAAGGATGCACGCATGGTAGATGGGACGCCTCTCCACATAGGACCAGTCATCCGCAAGTTGCGCGTAGTGCTAGGACCAATCACGGTTAGGCGTGACTTCGACTCTGCGACGCTGGACGGTTATGACTTCATCTTCGGTAGGAATTGGCTACGGACGGTTAGTACTCAGTTCGATTGGGCTCAGGGAAGCTGCAGCGTCAAGGTAGACGGGGAGTTCCGGGAGCTGCCATGGTGGAGCGATGGGGCCACATCATCCACAGCTATCATCAATGGTGTTCGTGTGCGACAATTGGTGAAGCGAGCGGCACGGATCTTTGCGGTTTTCCTTGAGGAGGTGGAAGCTGAGGAGGGGAAAGGAGGGAGTGCAGCAGCTGGTGAGAAGGCAACTCTTCCTGCTGAGGTGAGTGCACTGTTAGCAGAGTTCGCAGACGTCTTCCCCGACGAGTTGCCCCTAGGGTTATCTCCCAGCCGAGCAGTAGATCATCGAATAGAGTTGGAGCCGGGGAGCAGGCCAGTAGCAAAGCCGCAGTGGAGGTTGAGTCCAGCGGAGATAGAGGAGATGACGCAGCAGGTTAGGCATTTTCTCGCGCAGGGTTTCATACAGCCATCTAGATCGCCTTGGGCAGCACCGATCCTTTTCGCGCCTAAGAAAGACGGAGGGTTACGGATGTGCATAGATTACCGCGCACTGAACGCCGCCACCGTCAAGAATAGGTTTCCGGTGCCGAGAGTAGAGGATCTCCTAGATGCAGTGCAGGGCGCTAGAGTTTTCTCCAAGATCGACCTTCGTTCTGGTTACCACCAGATTCGCGTAGTTCCAGAGGACCAGCACAAGACGGCGTTTCGTACGAAGCAGGGGTTGTACGAGTTTAGGGTTCTACCGTTCGGATTGACCAACGCCCCAGCGACGTTTCAAACGCTCATGAACACCGTCCTCTCCGAGTTCCTAGGTTCGTTCGTTGTAGTTTACCTAGACGACATCCTAGTATTCTCTAAGACAAAAGAGGAGCACGTACAGCACTTGCAGAAGGTCTTCGAGGTTTTACGGAGGGAGCAGCTGTACGCTAAGCAGTCGAAGTGCGAATTCTTTCTCCCTGAGGTCGAGTTCCTAGGACACGTCGTATCCGCTAGTGGCATTAGGACCGACCCGAAGAAGATCGCAGCAGTACAGGATTGGGTAGCACCGACCTCAGTCAAGGAGTTGCAGAGCTTTCTCGGATTCGCGAATTACTATCGTCGTTTCGTTCAGGGTTATGCATCGATCGCTAGTCCACTCACCGACCTACTTCGGAAGGGCGTAGATTTCGATTGGGGTCCAGCGCAGCAGCAGGCGTTCGAGCAGATGAAGCAGTCGCTCACGTCTTCACCGACACTGTCGTACCCTGATCCCACTCGCCCATACGTTGTAGTGACCGACGCTTCCGATCAGGCCATAGGAGCAGTGCTTCTTCAGGACCAGGGACGCGGGTTGCAGCCGATCGCGTACGAGTCGCGTAAGCTGAGGGGAGCAGAGTTGAATTATCCGATTCACGACAAGGAGGCGCTCGCGATCATCCATGCGTATAAGGTGTGGAGGTGCTACCTAGAGGGGGCAGATAGTGTCATACGCACGGACCACTGTTCACTTCGTTTCCTCAAGTCGCAGCCGCAGCTGAGTCGTCGCTAGGCTAGGTGGATGGAGTTCATGGAGGGGAGTTTCCACTACAGGATCGAGTATAAGCCAGGCGTGCGCAACCCGGCAGATCCGCTCATTCGCCCTAGTTGCCAGCTCGCTAGCCTCACAGTCACTGCCGGCCATCCACTTCTCACAGCACTCTTCGAGCACGATTATACAGTAGATCCCGACTTCACCCCGCAGCCGCCCGCAGGAGCAGAGGTGAAGGGTAGTGTCTACATACGGAAGGGTACCACACGGATTTGGGTTCCTGCCTACCGCCCTCTTCGATAGCTCCTTCTTTCCGAGGCACACGATGTCGTTAGTGCAGGTCACTTCGGAGCAGATAAGACGGCTAAGACGCTTAGTCGCACGTACTTCTGGCCAGGGCTTGCAGCAGACGTAGAGGATTACATTCGCTCGTGCGACACGTGTCAGCGTACGAAGTCCTCTCGCCAGCGCAAGGCAGGACTTTTGCAGCCGATTCCACCACCCGACCGCCCTTGGCAGGTAGTTATGATGGACTTCATCATGGCTTTACCGCGCACAGCTAGGGGTCACGACGCCATCTTCGTGGTAGTGGATAAGTTTTCTCGAGCAGCGCACTTCGTCCCCACGCACGGCAAGGTCACAGCTGAGGAAGCCGCAACACTGTTCGTAGATAACGTAGTCCGACTGCACGGGGTTCCGGATTCCATCATCTCAGACCGCGACCCTCGTTTCACTTTGAAGTTCTGGAAGCAGCTTTTCGCACTGTTTGGGACTCGCTTAGCCATGTCGTCCGTGTACCATCCAGAGACAGACGGACAGACTGAGCGTGTGAACCAGACCTTGGAGCAGATCCTTCGCAGCATCACGATGCACGACGCAGCCGCATGGGACAAGAAGCTGAGCATGGCCGAGTTCGCATACAACAACACGCACCACTCGTCCACAGGCATGTCACCGTTCTTTGCACTTTACGGTCAGCACCCCAATGTCCCCACTCGTGTCGATCTCACACCCACAGTCCCTCGTGCGGACAACTTCCACCAGCATCTCACATTCATCCATGATCACGTGAGGAAGCACCTTGAGCTCGCAAATGCACGCATGGCACGCACCACCAACTACAGTCGTCGTGAGGTGTCGTTCGCAGTCAGGGACCGTGTTCTCTTGGATAGCCGCAACCTCCGACTGCCACATGACAGCAAGCTTCGTCCACGTTTCATTGGTCCATTTGTCATTGAGCGCGCACTAGGTCCAGTCGCATTCCGTCTCCGCCTTCCCGCTCATTTCCGCATGCATCCGTCATTCCACGTGTCTCTCCTTCGTCCTTACACCGATCCCAACGCCACCTTCTCGGGTCGTGATCGCACTCCACTGCCGGTAGCTGTTGACACCGACGAGCCCAACTACCAGATCCAGCGCATCCTCAGGCACCGTCGCCGTCTGCAGGGAGGTGTCTCCTTCGTTGACTTCTTGATTCGTTGGCGTGGTTACGACGCAGCCGACGACAGCTGGGTTCCTTCGTCCTCGCTGTCTCCCGACAACGCTTCCCTCCAAGCGTACCTTCAGTCTGCAGGCGCCGCGGACGTCGCCTCCTTGGGAGGGGGGTAGTGTTACGGGGTACTTTCCTGTTCAAGGGTAGTTTACCCTAAACAGACCCCCAACCTTATCTCAACTCTATCTTCATCCAACTCATCCAAGATTTCCTAGATTTCCTTGTGCCACGTGGCACTCTAGTTCTCTTGCCTTCCAATTCCTAGTCCCACAATCTACTTTCCAACCTTGTTTCTTGCATGCTACTTAAACCTTGCTTGTACTTGGCATTATAAATCAATTCTCATTCAACTCTTCTTCAATTACTCAGTAACTTCTTCGCCTATTTCGCCAATAGTTCTTTCGCCAAAGTCTTCCGCCGCGTTTCATCCTCGACTTAGTCGACCCCGCTAATTCTTTAGCGGACGTAGGCCGTCGGGCCTAACAATACTTACATCTTCATTCAACAGCGTGATTATTATAGGTCAATACCAGAGATTCCCAAACGATTTGTAGAAGTCATCAGCAAGGAAATTCAATACAATGCAACATGCTATGACGCAAAGCAGAATAGAAGGTACGGTACGTACCATACGTCACATCCGCATGATGCTCCTTGGCCAAAATCAGACCGTTGCTTGCCTCAGCCTGCACGCTTGAAACTTATACACCCCCCATCAGCACAACTGCCAGCAGTGGCAGGACCGCAGCAGCGAGAGAGAGTCCGTCAGCCCCAGCAGCCTTGGGGGGAGGAGGAGGGGGGCTGGGGCCAGCGGGAGGAGGAGAGGCAGATGGGGGAGATAGAGACACGACGCTTGGGGGAGGAGCGGAGAGGCTGGGGGCTGCGGGAGGAGGAGACGCAGATGGGGGAGACGGAGACACGGCGCTTGGGGGAGGAGCACCAGTAATGGGTGCCGGCGGGGAGGAGGTAGGTGGAGAAAGGGCAGGGGCAGGAGAGGCAGGCACGGGAACAGGAACAGGAGCGGGGAGCAAAGGAGTAGGAGTGTAGGGGTAAGGAGTGAAGACGTCAAAAGACTCAGGGAAGGGCCGGGTGGCATTGGAGTAGGGGAAGTCAGTGCAGATGGCCGGGTCGAGGGGGCGGCCCGACACGCCCTTGGCGGCCGTCATGTTGACCGCACCGGGCGGGCAGGTGGCGGGGATGGTGAGCGGGTCGCAGGACAGGGGGATGACCGGGATCACTGTGGGACCCCCGTAGCACGCTGTGTCCTGCACCTGGTGGTGGGTTGTGGGAGGTGGGGAGGTGGGAAGTGGGCATGGCAAGTTCAAGAAGCAGCAGCAGTGAGGAGCGGCACACGGAAGAAGCTGACAAGAAAAAGGAGCGCGCGTGCAAGCTGCTGTGATGTGAACGCGAGCGCCCTGGTTGACTACCCTGGAGCGCGCTGACTTGGGGGCGACGCTCTGACTTGGGGGCGACGCTCTGACTTGGGGGCGACGCTCTGACTTGGGGGCGACGCTCTGACTTGGGGGCGACGCTCTGACTTGGGGGCGGCGCTCTGACTTGGGGGTGACGCTCTGACTTGAGGGCGACGCTCTGACTTGGGGGCGACCTGCAAATGGACTCACGGAGAATGTGGCGTTGAAGCCGGGGATCTGCTGCGCGATGAGCGGCATGATCAACAGCTCGAGCATGTCCTTGGGATATCTGCTCACGTCGCCCAACATGGAACTCCCCACTGCACGCGAACGCCGCAGCAGAACGGAATTCGACAAGAGATTGGAGATCACTGTAGCCATTGTAATTTCGGAATGGAGATTGGAAGAAAAATTCCATAGGGTAGAGCAAAACCACTGTAATTTCGGGATGGAGAGTTTATAAAGGAAAGTCGAAAAGCGTGACAGGAGCGAATCTACTGTAACACGGGAACGTGTAACGCGGATCTGACATGATATCATTGAGCAGGCGTTGAAAATCGCCGCGTAGTAGTCGCTGCCGCAGATCTGCAGCATGTACTTGCCGGGCTTGCCCGTGAGGTAGTTGCCCGAGTCTGCCACACACGCCGGCGAGAACGACGGAGCAGAAACGGGGGATGCGGAGGGGGGGGGAAGGCAAACAGCTAGCGGGTGCGAGTTAAGTGCCGCAGAGCGTTGAATGAACGAGTGGGGTTCGTAGAACATGCACTGTTTAGGTTAACGTTGGTTTGGTGTGCTGGCTATCTGTCTCACCGGGATTGCACTGCACGGCACAGGCGAGTTGCTCGACGATGTGCGCGCAGATATCATTTCCCTTCATAAGAGTACTGATCTGCACGCACGAAACTCTCGTGAGCACGCACACACTCACATACAAACAAGACTGTTTGGAACAATTTTGCAGAGCAGGTGTAGCGTGTAAACGAAAGCAGCCCAGAATGCAGGCAGGCAGGCGGCACTGATGCTTCGTCTACATTGAAACATCGATTTCCTTATCATCGCGCGACCACTCACGCTAGCCGGCACGGAGATACCGGCGATATGCCCCACGCCGGGCAACACCGTGGCGGTAACGTTAACGGCGAGCGCCTGAACGGCGAAGTTAAGGTCGGCGCAGGCATCGGGGCAGCACGACATGCGCGACGCTCCCACACACCGCGTGGGGGGCACTGCTGGCTTCGTGGGTGGCTTGCCGGTCAGCGGACAGTTGGGTACGTCGCTGCATTGGTTGACGGCAGCAGAAGAGTCGCCGCCAGCAGCGCCGTGAGGAGCATCACCGCGATGAAGCGACTCGAAGTCTTCGCTAGCGAAGTGGCCATGATGGCGAGAGCTGTGAGTTGGGCGACGCTCGCTGGCGAGCAGCAGGTGGCACTGGAAACTACTAGTACCACACCGCGGCTGGAACAGAACTAAAGAGGGGGCGCGGATCAGGCTGACTGCTGTTTCTAGGTTGCACTTGAACTTGCGTATGCTCATGGTGGGTGTAATCGCGTCGCGTCGCGATAAGAGAATCTCGGAGAGAATTGCCGCGGCGCGGGCTTTGCCCTCGTGGATTTTTTTCATCGCGCTCAAATTTTTACACAACCCGAAAGACACACCATCCACCTTCTATCGCGAGCGGTACGCGCTCCTGACATTTTGACTTCAATGTGGTAGTGTACATGTAAGTGTACGGTCATGTCGGAACTATTTTCCAGGAACCCAACCGAGAGCCTCCAACATTGTTGGAGCCAAACCAGCGAAGTGCTGGGTTGCCAAGCCTGCGTGTGACATCTCGTAGTTTAGGCTCGATAATGCGCCATTCAGTCAAAAATCCTGTGTGCGCCAAATGGCAGTCATTCAAACGACATGTTCATAAGCAATTGAAGATGCGCATCGCGAACGCGGACCAATAGGGATAATTGTCGTGACGATGCGCGAACCTGTACACGTGGTTGGACTTTCGCTGCTTATTCCCCGCCGAAACAATGACAGACAACATTTCCGCCGAACGGCATGCATGCACCAGTCTGACGTCAACGTGGATACGTTGGTTGAATGTGTCCTGACATTTCACAGCTAGAAAATTAGCACCAATCGCAGCCAGCCGTTCATGAACAAATTTGCCCCCGTAGTATGTTGGCCAGGTTGCTACAGGTGCTCATTAACACCATGCGTGAAACTACCTACGTGGTAATTACAACGCAGCAAGTCCGATCCGCTTTTTATCAACAACGTTCATGTACATGCCAGCTGCACGCCACTTGGCATGATTCGGAATCCCCGTGTGTGATTCTCGCCTTCCAGGGTCACCCATGAGGGTTTGCTCTCGCATGCTTGTCGCAGTGTTCAACCTCGATTTGTTAAAAAACAGACCGCGAGCATGAGCGAACGAGGATACGCCAGCACAGCCCGTGTGGTCCCCAACAGGATAACACAACGTTCGAGTCGCGACATCCAGCCATTCAGTGCTCGCCGTGTTCAGCACGCTAATCTCAAAAGCGAGGGCAGCTCTTGCACGTGATTCGAGAACCCCGTTCACCCGCTCTCGTTTTGATTGTCATCCTTGCTCATTACCTGATGTGTTATACCGACCGTCCTGCATTCGCTGTTTATATTTTCACCAGTCCGTTTCGAACCACCTCGCATTAACAGTTCCTCTAGCCGTTGTTCACAAGATTCAGACCTTGAGGCCCGCCAAGTCAGCACGCTTTACTCCTTCGTTGCCGTTACCTTACCGCTCACCAGCTTTCTCCACTAGCGACTAGAAATGCCTACGGGCCGGCCGGACGACCCTGTGAACGTAGGAGACGAGGAGGAGGACGTCTTAGTTGAGTTAGAGGCCGAGTCGGAGCACGGCAACACGGGTGGAGAAGATGCCACGAAAGTCCCTAGTGGCCGCCGCACGCGTCATAGGGGCGGCCCGCACCCGAAACGCCAAAGGACGTCTGGCGCAGAACAACAACAAACCACTGGCCCGACTACTAGGGCGCACCGTGCACGGGTCACGGAAGAACCGTATTCATTCCAACCACCGCCTCCACCACAGAAATCGCTACCACAGGCACAGGATCTTGTAGCCGACATGGCACGGAGCATGAAGCAGCTCCCGGGCATTACCCCAGCGTGCCGAGCTAAGAAAGAACCATCGGTCAAGAGTGGCAACTGGCCCACGAAGCTGGTTTCGAACTGGCATGGGTTCGGCACTACGCTGAACGTTGCTGACGCACTCCACATGCAGGACAATGCACCAATCACGGACACCGCGTTGGACTTCCACAACATGTAAGTCCCGCCATCGCTGTGGAGATGTTATCGAACGGGAAATCAGAATTCGCATGACATAAATTCAGGGACTGATTCCTACTATCCTGCGCGCTTCAACCCCCCTGCCTGTACCCGTGCAGCATCTTGGACATACGCCATCCGAAATTGGACAATGGAAAAACATGGATCGCGCTCGATGTGAAAGCTTACGACTACTGGGCGTCACAAATGAAGCTCATCGCATGCTGCGACGACAAGGACACCTTCTTACGATTCGACTATGTGGCAATTTTTGCCGCGGCTGAGTATGTGATGCAATCACCGCCCGGATTTGTTTTTACGGCTACGGCACTCTAACCACTACCGTCGTGTTTCCTTCAGGTTTCACTTCAGCCTGTTTGTTCTGGAGAACGCTAGCACGCTTGTCACATCATCCGACGGTGGTGAGGAGCCGCCCCCCCCCCAAGCTGTGGCTATATGATTCGACAGGTCATCATGCAGCCAACCCTGCCGTCGTCACAAATGTCCGCCTGTAAGTCCAGGTAGAGAGTGAGCTTGTAACCGGTTTGGCGCAAACCTGCTAATCTCTTTCCATGTGCTATGGCAGGATTCTCGCCTCGGAGCTGAACTGTGTCTACCCCGAACTTTCCCGAGCGGTGGTCGAGTCCCGGATTGGCTCCATCCCGTATCGCGCACTCGATGTGAGATACTTGAGTTTTCGAGCTTCGTATCCCAGGGTCATGATTACTAATGTCAAACGGTTGTTATTCACAGATCCAATACGAGATACCGCGGCAGCCCGAGAAGAGTCTCGACTGTGGGGTCTACGCAGCCATGTACCTCCACTTGCACGTGACAACCAACTTCCAACTCCTCGGCGGTCCAATCGCATTCACAACTGCACCCCTACTTTACCGTCGCGACTGGCGGGCAGACATGTGCGCCCATATCTCTGGCAATCTGCTATCTGCCCTTCAAACTGCGGGCCTCACTCTTCCCCCACAGAAGCTCATACGTGCAGGTGCCGTGCCTACCAGTGGAGACGTGTCACAGATGAGCGGTGTCGTCCGGGAGACGAGCTCCGAAGTGCAGACCCTGAAGAAGGAGTCGCTGCTCTGCGCGCAGATTATGCCGAGCTGCAGTCGAAGTTCACTAGCGTGAGCCAGCAGTTGTTTGAGCGCGTGGGGGCAATGGAGAAGGCTCGGGACACAGCGAACAAAGAGGGTGTGTTGGGTGCGCCTGCTCACGGTGACGTGGCCTCTCCATCCAAGCGGGTGGACTCCAGTCCCGACCCGGGTCTCAGAGACACCGCGGCCTCCCCCCTTGCAGGATTCCGGCAGGCCTCGCGGATTGGGCCCAACGAAGAGGCAGCACCGCCGCAGCAGCACCACCGTGAACCACACTACGCACCTTCATCGCCGTCACCCGCCCCCGCTACTGCACAGCCTCATCAGCCCAGCGTGCCACCGGGCCAGGACGCGGTATACTATCAGCCGGGCACATCCCGCCCTGCCCCGCCGCAGCGACCGGTCGCTCCAATCCCACCAGCGCCTCGCCCGTCTGCTCCCATATACCCAGGCTTCGCTGCCGGGCCACCTTATGCTCCCCCGCCCGGTATGCCGTTTTACTGGCAAGGAGGTCCCCTGCAGCCCGCACCCCCCCCGCAGCAGTCGTTCGCACCGCCCGCCATCCCGAGCATGAGTGGCGCGGGTGAAGGCGGCGGGGAATGGATGCGCGACGCCGGTGGCGAGGCAGGTGTAGCTGGAGCTGCAACCGAGGCCTTCAACGGTGGACGTCCAAAGTCCAAGTACGCGGGTGTTACCGGGGGGGGAGATGTTTGGTTTGCCAAGCTGTTGATGCCGGCCCCTCAAAACCCCATACGCATGGGGCCTTTCCCGAGCGAGGAGGAGGCAGCCAAGGGATACAAGGCTGCCGCAGTGGTGGTACGGCCGCAGGGTTATCGCATCCAGCGCAGTATTGAACTGACCATGTCGGAGCAGCAGCTGCTGACCGGGTGCACCAGGCAGCACGTGGCCAGCCTAGCCGAGCGTGGCCTCTGGCAGAGGTGGCGCAAATGGCGGCAGCTCATGCCGGAGCTTCCGCCGGCTCCGCTGCTACATGTTCCTCACGCCCCCACCATGCTGCCTCCGCGCACGCAAGCACAGCCGAGCAGCAGCCAGGCAACACAACCTCCGGGCATGGGCCACTCTCGAACACAATGTGGTCAGCAGCAATATATGGATGAGCAACAGCACTACAAGTGAGGTACGTTGTAGAAGTGTGCTCTATCCACATTTTCACGTCTGTTTTTTACCTTGGTAAACTGTGTGTTTCCGTCTCATATTGATGATATTTCTACGGCAAGATCCATAGTCACGAACATGCGCTTGTTTCCGCGGTAGACCTTGCCTCTTTTTTATTGCAGCTTCAGAATGTTTAGTTGACATAGCTTGCTCATGGTAGTAATAACATTAATGAGATGCATCGGTCGTTGAGCGGTCGTAACCGTGTTAGTGTCCAACTATGATCACGCTCTGTATTTAGGTTTTTAGCTACCTTTTGACGCAACAAGGAGATACAAACACTAGCGATCAAGATCAGCCTCGACACAGTTAAGTCGTGGCTCATTTCGGTGCCAAATCATCACGGTGCAGACGACGGTCATTACTGTGTTTGTTAATTAACGGTCCTAACGCGGCGCGTTAAAAACCCGATCATTACCATAAGCGACAGGGTAAATGCTAGGGTGCATCAACGTGTAGCACGGTAACACTGAGCGGGGCATGCAGACTGCATCGTGCTTGTTAAGACATGTGGTGTCGCTGAATCAGCGTGTCCACCACTGGTCCACGTTGGAAAACACAGACACACTCGAGTTTCGCCGTCGTGCATCGTAAATGAACGGGACCGCGCTGTGATTCAGAACGTGCACCGCGCAGGTCAGTAACGCGCATTGTTAGAAACGAGTAACATTGCACGTTTGAACCAATCGAACACTTGACACGTGTACCCTTTGAAAAGCGCGCGAATGCAACTACCCTCACATCCGAGAGATATAATATAAGTACCACAATCAGACATAGTACCATCCTACAATACCAGACGCAAGAGGTACGCTACAATGGAAGCTAAAACCTCTACCATAATCAAGGATAATAACAGACGTAGCATGAGCAATACTCTCTACGGCCCTCATGTTGTACGACCTGCTAATAGTGCACTGGATGGCAGCAGTGCCTCATCGACTGTTTTTAACCACGACGAACATGACGGACGGGTGAACGGCACTCCTGATGCTCACACCAACGAAGTGGAGGGGAAGACAAGCACTATCTACAATTGGCACTCGTTTGGAATTTCGGTCTCCGGAGCAGACCTATCTCGCTTGTCCTCGTACATGGCCGTGAACGACAACATTGTCGACTTACACAACATGTAAGCACATCATGCTGGTGCTACGTTTCCAGGTTGGCCACTTGGATGACGTTAACGGTTTCTCGTACGTACCTGACAGCTCGTTAACGGTTTCTCGTACGTACCTGACAGCTTGCTTGACATTCGTCACCCACGCCTTGGAAACGGACAAACATGGATCGCTCTCGACTCCAAGGCCTTCGAGTATATGTCGAAACATGGCAAGCTCATTTCATGCTGCCCGGCTAAACGGTTGTTTCTCGACTTCGACAACGTAGCGATCGTGGTAACCGGAAGGTAACAACCGTGCCACTCCGTCGTCATAAAGCACCGCAAACTAACCCACATTCCGTCCTAAACGCCGATAGAATGTGCTGTGCAGGTTCCATTTCAGCCTGGTGATTGACGCCAACGCAAAAGTCCTACTCGCAAATCCAGACCCACGACCGGCGATATACCAGCTGAAATTCTACCACTATGACTCTGCGGGCGTGCATTGCGATACGGGAACGGAATGGGATGTGATTGAAAGGTAACGCGATTAAATAAGTTTGAGTACATGGCTGATGTTCCCACGTTAATCCTAGTAGTTGCTCACAGATGTCAACGCTTTGTATAGGCTGGTCGCCGCGGAGATTCATCGTGTCCATCCTGGACTATGTCTACAGGCTAGCCTGGCCAGGGTGGAGCAAGTAGAATGGTGCATATTACAGGTACCATCTCGCCACTCACGAGACAGTGTTCACGCTCTTTGCATCTCAATGATTTTAAAGCGCCGCCTCTCTGTTGCTTATGCAGGCTTCGGAGATCCCACAGCAACCCCTTGGGAGTGAAGACTGTGGTATATACACATGCATGTTTCTACGCACCCTTGTGATCCATGATTTTCAAAACCTTGAAGGGCCTATGTATCTCGAGATGGACCCTGCGGAATATCGGGTGATCTTACAATCCGAGTTATCGTCACTTCTACGTGGTGCACTGACGCTGCAACTACAGGCGGAGGGGGTCATACTGCCATCGTAAGGGCCATACCGTAGGCGTCACGAGGAGGGGTCCGTAACCATGGAGGCGGAAGCTCCAACAATTCGACAAGACCTAGCGCAGCGACTAGAGATTGTTAGGCTTACACGGGAGGTTCAGATGCTTCGTGCTGGCATTGCAAGCATCCGTAAAAAAACAGAGGACCTACATGTATTTCTTACTGCTAAACTGGACGACATCGAGCACCGTCAGCAAGCTGAATTCTCTAGATGACGTTCTTCCTTGTTTTTATCTTTGTGGTATCTGCGAATCATGAAGTCCTTGGTGTTATTGATGGGGGTAGGCCCACACATGGCATACCATAACATTTGCACCGTTGTAAACAGTCCCTTTGAGTAATGTTAAAAATTCCACAAATTCAAAATGTGTAGGATTTATCTAGCTACCTACACTGCTTTACACGTGTACAAAGGAATATTGACTGAATATCCAGCCGTGTGCTCTCTAAGGGGACTGATTTTCCAGCCTGCAATGGAGGTGTACACTGAATGCACATGTCGGGATCCCTGTTGTAAAACACTCGAGATTAATAGATGTGAGCCAAGTGTTCAACAGGGTTAAGTACACAATGAAAATACGGACTTCTTTGTTTCCATAACTCGCAATTTCACCCAGTTTCACAACGTCACTACACACCCTGAGCACAAGCAACAGGGGCCTCTCGGCGCCATAGTGGGATAGACGGGCAACGTGTAACATGTTGCTCGAAAACAACGGTTTGGCACTAGTCACATGGCACAATACTGGGTACCGGTATGAAGTTGAAATGCTTGGTACCTATGCAACCATTAGAGTACATGGCTAGCTAGGACGTTTCATATTCCCTTGTACTCTTATTTATGGCGTTGTACTTGCTTGTTTTTATTCCTATTTGTCAAACTTATATGCTATAGTCTGTGTAGGCTGTAGTGGGGTAGATAATATGGGATACAACACTTTTAGGTTTTCCTACTTGTACCCACCTGTTTCCTAGTGCATTCATTCCTCGTTCTTTCACATGGTATAGAGCAGGTTCCCTAGTGGGAACGTTTCCTAGGGCCCACCGAAAATCGATTTTTTTTTTCCCTGCCCGGAGCGCGCTTCGCCCCTGCCCGAGTCGCGCCCCGTGTGCCTGCCCTCCCGTCGCGTCCCCTGCCCTTAGCGGCCCGTCGCGCTCTCTTACGGCTTCGTAGCGGCCCCTCTCACGGCCCCTCACGGCCCCTCTCACGGCCCTTCGCGGCCCCTTCTGGCCCCTCGCGGCCCCTTCGTGGCCCCTCGCGGCCCCTTCGCGGCCCCGTCGCCGCCCTTCGCGGCCCCGTCGCCGCCCTTCGCGGCCCCGTCGCCGCCCTTCGAGGCCCCGTCGCCGCCCTTCTCGGCCCCGTCGCCGCCCTTTGAGGCCCATCGCGGCCCCTTCTCGGCCCCGTCGCCGACCTTTCCGGCCCCTCACGGCCCCTTCTCGGCCCCGTCGCCGCCCTTCGCGGCCCCGTCGCCGCCCTTATCGGCCCCGTCGCCGCCCTTCGCGGCCCCTCACGGCCCCGTCTCGGCCCCGTCGCCACCCTTCGCGGCCCCTCACGGTCCCGTCTCGGCCCCGTCGCAGCCCTTCGCGGCCCCTTCACGGTCCTTCGTGGCCCCTTCGCCGCCCTTACCGGCCCCTTCTCGGCTCCTCCGAACAGCATCAACCGCCGCCAGCAGCAGCCGCCGCCGCCGACAGCCGCCGCCGACAGCAGCAGACGCCGCCGACAGCAGCGGCGGCCGCCGACAGCAGCAGCCGCCGCCGCCGACAGCAGCAGCCGCCGCCGCCGTTGCCGTGACGGCCGCCGCCGCCACTGCCGGGGCCGCAGCCGCCGCTGCCGTGACCGCCGCCACCGCCGCTGCCGGGGCCGCAACCGCCGCCGCCGCCGCCGACAGCAGGAGCCGCCGCCGCCGACAGCAGGAGCCGCCGCCGCCGTCGCGGCCCTGTCCCTGCCGACGCGCCTCGGCCCTGCCCCACCACTTGCGGGCCCCTACCCACCCGCCCTGGTAAGAACACCGCCGAGCCGCGCCTGCTGCTACTGCTACTAGCCTGCTGCTGCTGCTGTCATGGCTACCCCTAGTGTTCTCACCTTTGATGCTGAGGGTCGGGCTGTCGAGTTTGATGTCTGGGTCGATGATCTGCAGCTTTTCCTGCAGTGCGATAGGAAAGACAGTCTCTCACTGTTCGATCTCACGTCTGGCGCCTCTCCTGCCCCTACTGCCGATGCTGACAGCACTGTTCGCTCCCAGTGGGCCACACGCGATGCTGCTGCCCGTCTTGCTGTGCGTAGTCACTTGCCGTCCACTGAGCGCGCGCACTTTAGTCAGTACAAGAGTGCTAAGACCTTGTACGACGCTGTAGTTGCACGCTACTCTTCCCCTGCCACTGCTGCCCTTAGCCGCCTCATGCTGCCGTACCTGTTCCCTGACCTCGCCGCCTTTCCCACTGTCGCTGACCTCATTACGCACCTTCGCACTAGTGACATCCGCTACCGTGCTGCGCTTCCTGCTGAGTTCTACGCCACGACCCCCCCCCCCCATGTACATCACCCTCTACTACATAGTCACCCGGCTCCCTGACTCCCTTCGCTCGGTCAGGGACCACTTCCTCTCTGTTTGCCCCACCACACTTACCGTTGACCTCCTCGAGGAGCGCCTCCTGGCAGCTGAGAAGAGTATAGTCGCTGTAGGAGCCTCTCGTGGTGACCCTCGTACCCCCTTCTTTGAGGGGTGCTCCCCCTCCCCACTTTTGCCCTCTGTTGCCTCTACTGCTGCCGTCGACTTCGTTGGCACCGAGTCGGTCGGCGCTGCGTCT